TAAGTCTGGTGGACAGCTGTCACTAGAAATAGTTACAATTTTCTTCTTGCAAAGAGAACTTCTAAGATCTCATAGCAGTGTTCAAATAGGCAATAAGTATATTCCCGTTTTGACTTAGTGCAGTTAAATGAGACAAGTGGCTTTGAGTCTTAGAATCAAAGAATCATGTTGAAATAATTGAGTTGAATCAAACTTCTGAGTGACAACTCATGTGAGCTTTCTTGAGTAATCCATCCCTAATTAGGCCCACCTGGCTCCCATCACATGGTATGGTATGCAGGTACAGATAGGTGCTTAAGACTTCTGCTCTCTTTTCCACTTGTCCATGCGATTCTTTCTCGACATCTTCCAGTGCTTCATCCATCTCCTGTCTTCACTATCCAAACAGGTTATAATTGTGGCAGAACATGTCTAAGTAGCTACACTCACAGTTGCTGCGGGCACTTTGGAAAGAGGCTGGGAAGGAGTCCTTCAGTATTAGAGTTTTACTTTCAGGGGATTAGAAAGCTTTTCAGTTTGAAGAGTCCATCATACAAATATATTTCAGGAGTGAACAAGGTTTAATTATTTATTGATTAGTGACTAGCTGATCGTCTGCTGAGAGTAAGGCAATGAAGGGTTGGTAAACAAGGGAGGATTCAGGCAAAAGGAATGAGGAACTCTTAGAGGAAGTGGACACATGATTAAGGAGACCATTACCTCTATTTCGGCTAGTTTTTAGGTTTTCTTTAGTCTGGCTCTGTAAAGGTATGGGTTCTTTCCATTTTATTTCCATTCATCCTCTATGCTTTACAATGTATGTTGTATTTAAGTGTTGAAAGTGACTAGAGACTTACTGCTCACTGGGTAGTCATGCTTTGCTTCTGATATTCCAGAGGGTCTAGCAGAGGCTCCATAGAGTACTTATTTCTGTCATTTGCTGCAGAACTTAACATTTTTGGTGATTTCTGGTACTAAGTTGATGAAATACAGGGAAATAGAGCTCAGATGCTTTTGGATAAAACCTTAATTTATCTCCTCCCTTCTCTCTGACGTTTCATTGATTGACTCAAGTAGTCCCATATCGTTGGATGCCTTTTCTGACTCTTACGTCTGCCTTATTCCTTGCATGTGGTCAAGGTATATTTCATTTCCTGTATCTCTCACATCCTTTGTGTCTTATCACCTGGCAGAGCCCTCTTTGGTTTTAGGGTCATAATATTCCCAGCTCTTTCTGGTCTCTCTCTTGTTCTCTATGAGTCCCAACAGCCACAACTCCTCAATGCACATTGAAGTTTCTCTTTTCTAATTCTGGAGATTCTGCTCTCTTGAATCTAATGTTCTTGGTTTCTTATTGTTTTGTAGAATAGAGACAAACTCTCCAAATTGGCATATATGATTCTCCCAAATGCATAAAAATCCATACAAGTATTTCTCCATTCTAACCCTACAATAATATATACACTATATCATGGGAGCATAATCATGAGAGATACAACATGAATGGTAAAAAATGAACATTACTTGTGTTTTTGTCAGACTTGATTATTCACTGACATCTTGTAATGCTATATGTATTAATATCTCAGTTGCTTTGATCTAGGATGCCCGAGATCCTTACTTCTTGCTGCTGCTGCTGCTGCTGCTATGTGGCTTCAGTCATGTCCGACTCTCTGCGACCCCATGGACTGCAGCCTACCACGCCCCCTCATCCATGGGATTTTCAATCAAGAGTACTGGAGTGGTTTGTCATTGCCTTCTCCACCCTTACTTCATAAGATGATCCTAAATTAATTGACAGAATATACTGTTTTCCTATTTTGGCATATCAATATCCCATAACCTTTCAAAATTCCATCATAAAGTCATCCCATTTGCATCACTCTTATGATACACTCAGATGGTTCCTAGCTTTATCTCAATCTACTCTAGCAACGTGTTGGCATCACATCTTATTCTTCTTCACTTTACCCTTGCAATATAGTAATTTGTGTGTTTATATCAACCTCTCCTTCTCCACAAGTGGAAGGCCTGCTTCTGGAAAATAGAGACTTTTTCAAACCTCAGTTTAAGTCCTCACTGTATCCATGACATGTGACTTACTAATCTATAAGGTCAGTGAACTTCAAAGATTCTTCATTTGTTTGTTTACCTTCGGTAACCACCGCTACTATTCCTGATATAGCAGCATCATTTCTTCAAATGTAATCTTACATGGAAATCTGTAAAAGAGGGGAAAATCGATGCTTTCTGGATGGCAAGGGAGCGACTGTTAAATCCTGTCCAAATATCCCCTCCTTTGCTATGCCTGATTGACTCTATAGAATATCTATGGCTCTGTTCAATATTGTCTGAAATCTACAGAATTCACTTTATATGTCACTGTCAAGGAAGGATAGCACTCTCAATGTCACCACCTTTGTTCTTGATGTAAAGTCCTAAATTCATGCTTGAAATAAATTTTCTGAGACAAATATAATGAAGATGTGTGTGGTCTATCAGTGAGTGTATGTTTCCTCCAATTACATTGTCCTACTTATTGCCAAATGTTAAATACCATCCTCTCTGCTGGAAATATCTAGACATTGAAGGAAAAAAACTTAAGCAAGTAACAGGAAAGAATTAAATGTTTTGGGCAGTAAATGACTTAGAAAGTGCTTACAGGATTTTTTCACATGTCTTTTAACTTTTGGAAGAAGAAAGTGAAAACACAAGAAAGCTGACACTTTACATGCATGAAGGAGACAAAGGAGGGATTGATAGGTTTCTTTGGGGCACTCTGTCATGTTCTGAAAGGTTTTGGTCATCCCAGGTAGAGACAAGGACAGAACTCAGGCAAGAATAACCCTGGTTATGAGGGAAGAGATTGGTTTTGCTGGACAGTATTCCTCTATGTAGGTGAAAGGTGTCTTTGCCTAAAAGAAGATAATTTGGCTGGATTCTGCCCTGAGGCATTGCCATGATTTATTCACCTCTAGAACTATGGCTTTTAGTAACAACAAAAGAATACTCCTGATATAAAGGGCAATTTAAGAAAAAAGAGGAGAGAAGAGAAAATGGACATAAAAGGGAATATGAGATATTTGCTCTTACTATATATATATTTGGCTCCTTAAAAGTAAAGTGTTCTAACAACTTTTCATCCTTCATTACCCAAATCCTTGACTCACTTTCCTTTTGCTGCTTTTCCTTCCTTCTGTATTCCTCTTCCTTCTATCTTATTCATCCCCCTTTCCCATCTATCTTTTGATTTCCCATTTTTTGTTTTCTAGGAATTACTGCTAAAGGCATAAAGATGCTGCAAAACCAGCCCAGCAACATCACTAACTTCTTAGGAGAGCCAGTCAAGAGATTGGCCCTCATTCTAGGTTGTCTGGAGGCAGTTGACAAGCTGAGAAACCCTAATCCATTCACATTGCTCCAGTCTCAGTACATACTTAGTCTATTTGGAGGATTTTATAATTCAGGGACCTACTAGGGCATGTTTGTAAGGCCAAATAATTACTGCCTAGGATTGTTACTCTAAAAGTAAGACAGAATGGTATCTCACATAAATGTGTTTTTGAATCCACCTTTCTGATCTACTCGGAGTCTGTGTGACCAGTTGGACAATTGTCCAGAGCCCCAGGTGGGGACAGATGCACACAAGTATTTCTGCCATTCAATTGTTCAGAGTGTGTATGATACTTGGGTTTCCTGTGGGTCAGCTAATAGGAAGCTGACTGTGGGCTACTGAACTTTCTCTAGATGGTGCTTGCAGAGTGAGGGAAACAGAGAGGCTGTGGTGATGACTGCAGGTGGTGAGCTGTGGGTACCAGAATATTTCCCCTGATTAAAAAGGAAACTATGATGTTGGGGAACCCCAACTTGTGAATGTCCTGGAAAATCACAAGGATACCCCATAAGAGAAACACTTGTCAGTCAGGGGGAATTTCAGCTCAGTCCGTCTGGACCAAGAGAAAGCTACAACAGCTCCATGTAAGTCAGTGATGTCAGAACTTTCCCATCTCGTTACCATCTACCCTGTTCCAACATGGCCCAAGGAATGAAGATCCAGAGAGTGAGAGAGAAGGAACCTTGCAGAAATGGACACACTGATGCTTCCTGGAAGGTCCCCTGGGCCTCAGCAGGGGAGAGGGAAACATTGAATAGGCTGAATATGAGATGGAGTTGACACTTGACTGACCTGGCCTTGTGAAACCCAGAGTGACAGAATGTATGGAATGGTTGCAAGGTGATGCAGAAAAAGTGGATGCAGTGGAGTGTAGGTGAAGACAGCCACTGGAGGAGGATGGAGCCAGCTAACATTTGTATCTTCTATGGTCTCAACCTTTGTGTCCCCCAGAAACTTCATATGATGAAATCCTGATTCCCATGGTTGTGGCATCCATATGTGGCGCGTTTGTGAGGTGACGGAGTTATAAGGATGGAGCCTTCTCAATGAGATGAGTGCTTTTATGTATAAGAAATACACAGAGCTCCTGAGTCCTTCCTCCTTTTTGAGGATACAATAAGAAGTGTGTGACCAGAAAGGACCCTGCATGAACACGTTGTGGAAATCCATTTTCATTGTTTATAGGTCTGTAATATTTTGTTATAGCAACCCAGAAGGTCTAAGACAGCATCCTAACAATTTTCAGACAGTTCAGTAAACCTCATGCTATTTGTACAAAGGTGCGAAGCATTGATACTGTCTGGTGTAACACTGTGACAGTGGGCTGACAGTTTGTGGCTGGCTTTCATAAAGACTCCTGAGGATTCAGTCTTCTTGGTAGCATGGCCAGAACCATAAACAATTGTCTAATTCTTTGATTCTCATAACTTGACCCAGAATAATTTTCTGTGATTCTTATGTAATCTCTTAATGGTCTTCTTTGTAATGCCAGCTTCTGCTATTTGTGACTAATTTTAATAGGAGCTTCATTCTCTCAATTGTAGGGGTGGCTTTTCTTTTGATTTTCTATTAAATGAAAATAAGAAATGTTAACAAATTACCCTCTTAGATTTTGGCATCTGTACAGAGTCTGTGTTTATTTTTTAAGGGGAGACCTATTTCACAGAGAATGCATGAAAAGCTGTAATTTCAAAAAAGCTTTTTAAGGCATAGATCATTAGGACCATCTCAGAACTGGATGGGATGGATGAAGATTCAGCACTCGTCACTGATTCGGCATGCCAGAATCTTGGTGTACATGTCAAGTCTATGGGAATCCCTGCTCAGGCACTTGAACAGGATATAAAATGCAAAATGACGTACATCTTCATCGCTGGACACCAGGGATGAGAATCTTTGCCAATATAGGAGATCCTTGGCCAACGTCAACCTGATTGGAACAACAATCTGAATACCAAAAGAAAATTACTTATCATGTGTTTTCTTAATATTTGCTTATCTTTGTCCTTTGTAATTATCAAATTAAGATTTAGGGAACACATAGGAATATAAAACTCTCTAGGTATGGATTTTGGAGCCAGCCTATGAGAAAACATTCAGGAATCTAAAAAGTAGAAACATAACTCTAGTTTAGTTTTAACTTTCTCTTTTCTTCCTTCCCACTCTCATCCTTTGATTTGAGGAGAACAGAGAAAGGAGAGAAAGGGAACTTCAATAGCAGATGTCCTGGGATACTTTGAGAAAAATGCTGAGCTTGGAAATTCTGTTCTGTTTTTCTCTTGCTGTTGAAAATATTTCAACCACCTGTGCCCAGGAAGAGGCAAGCTTTTGGTGGAATTATGTGCAATTCAGGGAAGGCAGCACATGACAAAAATTGCAGTGAAATTCTGATTCCTTTACAGTTGAATCTATCACTATGAATGACTAGGCTCCTGCTTTATGTAGGAGCAGTCTAGCATACAGAAGTCATGAAACTTTTTCTTACAAAATGAGATATTTCAAAACTCCTTATACATCACAGAGTGATCAACAAAGCAAGAAAGCCCTCCGCAGGATGCTCACCTGGCTGAATCGCCTCTCTATGATTATTTGAAGTTTGCGTAATTTTTTAAAATTCTCTCTGGCACTTGATAGGATAGTATCTGAGAGGTCTTTCCCAAACCGCAGTTCATGGACTAGAGCATACAGAGGATCTTCCCAGAGGTACTGTAACATGAGTATCCACTTAGTAAGGTCTTCATTCTAAGCAAACAGAAGAAAAAGTCTCATTAAAATAATCATAATTCAGTAGTTTTGGTAACATGTGATCTTTGCTCAGAGCACCTGACCTAAAAGACTTTTGGTTATTCCTATGTGTATAGACAGATTTTTGAAGGTAGTAAAAATTGAAAAATTATAAAATTAAGCTATTAGTTCACACTTCACTGAATTATTAAAAATCTGGGTTATTTTAAGAATTAATTCTTCTGATGAGTTCTAATTTATAACATGAATTTCTTTTTCCCCTGAAATTCTACGACTCACTCACTGAGTTCTATTATGTTTGTATATTTGCATGAGAGAAATGTAAGTATATTATGACAAGTCAATATGTGCCTGCAGTACCTGACCCAAGAAAGAGGCATTCTACCTGTGCCCACATCATTGTCACCCAACAGTGATCTTTCATATCAATGGGTCAGATGAGTCATTCATATTGATTTTTGATTGGTGGTTTGTTTTATGATATTAAAACAAAGAGACAATGAAGAACACAAGACATTCCTAAACAGGCTTCTTTCCTCAGTTGATCCCAACACCAGCCCCCATGCTGGTATCAGAAGAGTCTGTCTTGTTGACACGTGTCCGAGCAGAAAATGACACAGCGTTGTCTTTAGTAACAGCATCAGTGGGATTCACAATGGAGGGTTTTCCCCCCAGGTTCACTACTAGTATTAGAATTCAGCATGAAAATCCTGGGGGCTGAAGATCTCTAGTTAATATGCTTGATTTCTTTACAACCATGAACTGTTTTAGTGGAAAAGAACAGAGAACTGAGTAGGGTGAAATACAGTAATGCACATAAAGTGTTAGTAAAATGTATGGCCATGTAGTAACTCTCAATAAACTTTAAATTCAAGCTTACTGAAAAATCCCTCCTCCTTCCCTTCTTTGACCTTTTCCTTTACTTGATCATCTCATTATTAATGAGCTTAAGAGAGGAAAAGAATGCTGATATCATTAAGAAAGTAGTAGAGAGAAAAGATAGAATTTTAAGGGGGGATGCATGTGAAAATATTTTGAATAATGTTAGGATGAAGGAAAATGTGGGAAATCAGAAAGGAGAGATTATAGTGATGAAAATTTGAAGCTGCCATAAATGACTGAGGCTTGATATATAAACTGTGTTGTCCTCAGAACAGAGGCAATTATTGCGGCCATGAGAAGCAAAGCAATGTTATATAGGCCATTGTGGGGGAGACTTACAAATTAAGAATAAAAGGTGACAGAGGGGTCATTGAGAGACGAATGAGGAGGTGGTAGAGAAGTAGAGCAGATTCAGGAGAGCTTTGAAAGGCAATCAAGCTGGCTCGAGTGGTGCAGTGTAGGACTCCCAAATATGAGTCACTAGTAACAGGGGGTACTCAAAACTGGGGTGTGTTTCTTACATATTCATACATTTTGCAATCTTATATTTTACACATGGAAGTTCCCATTCATTTCCTGTTTTTGTACAGAATAACAGCTGCAATCCTGTGCTTAATGCATTCCTTGAACTAATCTTGTCTGCATGGACAATTTGTTGATCTGTTATTTCCTTTGCTACTACAGATCTTTAGTCATCCCTTGATTTCGCTCATGCATCATCAAGTGCATAATATAATTTCTCCTCAACTGCTTCCAGTTCCTCCACTGTTTTTTGCATGTACAGTTACCATTACCTCTAATATTCTGAGGCCTGGTAAGCTAATAGTGTCTCATTCGATCTGGTGAAAAACCCAGGTGAAAGACTCACGTTCATCTGTTGGGCTGTTTCTGTTTCTTCAGGAGCATGGATGGGATTGGTGTGGCAGTCATCGGTGGCATTGATATACTCCGGTATACTCTGGGAATAGTTTTCATCCTGAAAGTGATCAGGCAAGTAGTTAGGGTTGTTGGGCATTCAATAGACGAACCCATTACTAGAACACTAACATGTTTGATAGACGTGTAATTTTTTAACTGGGGGTGGGGGGCATCACAAAATTTGAAAGTCATTCTTTTCCTACTTCTTCTATATATTGTCTCTATAAAAATGATTTTACATCTAACTTTTCTAAGCTCAAACATTTCCCTTCTCTATTTTATCACTTTTTAAAAATTTTTTAGTATTTGAACCAAATATAGTACTTTTGTACCAATACTTGGTGCTTCCCAGGTGACGGTAGTGGTAAAGAACATTCCTGCCAATGCAGGAGATATAAGAAGACTCAGGTTTGATCCCTAGGTGAGGAGAATCCCGTGCAAGAGTGTGCAGCAGCACACTCCTGTTCTCTCGCTGGCGAATCCTATGGACAGAGGAGCCTGTTGGGCTACAGTCAGTAGGGTTGCAAAGAGTTGGACACAACTGATGTGACTTAGAATGCATGCATGCACCTATATTTAACCATTTAATCTCAAGTTTACTGTGGGTTAGAGCCAATATATTCCCTTATAGGGAGTAACACAGTAATGACTCTGATTATCTTTGAACCCGCTCACCAAAAAGCTTAGTGTTCATCCCAGCTGCAGAATACAATACTGTTTATGGTGACAAAATGGTACGTCAGGAAAATACAGCATAAAGTTATAGGAAATACTAAGCAATGGACTGAGAAAAATAAGAGTAGAAAAATCTTAACTAACACTTTGATAGAGAAAAACTAATCTTTTGTGGAAGTTATGCACATTTGAAGACTTTACTTGGAAGAGTTTGGAAAAATGGAAAGTCAAAAATGGAGGATGAAACAAAAACTAGTGAGTACAAGAACTACAGGAATTTAATAGAAACCTGTAGCACCACCTTTTATTAGCTGTCTGCTCTACTGTGTGCTCCTTGATTGACCTAAAAGAATTAACATACAACTTTCAAATACCTTCACCAGAAAGAGAACAATTGTTTCCAATTGTAAACTCTGCTTCTATTGTAGCTCGAAACCTATTCACTGCAAATCATAAAACAATAATTTGTAACATTAAAGAAACTACCAGTATTCGTTTTTTGACCAGGATTCAGCTTTGTTTAACATGTTCCATCCACGCAGTTCACTGCAGAACAGTTCTCATTTATTGGCTATTTACTCTGAGCCTGGAGAAGAAGGCCCAGAGAGACACTGAAGGACCAGAAAATCAATATGCTTCGTTTTCCGCAATCCCACCTAAAACTGCTTTAGTCAGGTAGTATTATGGACTGAATATATGTGTTCTTCAAATTCATGTGTTATAGCCCGAACTGCTAAAGAACTATGTTTGAAAAGGGTTCTGACTTTTTGGCACGACATGGTCGGTAGCTCACCAGAATCCCCTGTCCATGGGATTTCTCAGGCAAGAATACTGGAGGGGCTTGCCGTTCCCTTCTCCAGGGAATCTTACAGACCCAGGGATAGAACCCAGGTCTCTCCCATTGAGGCAGATTCTTTATCATCTGAGCCACGAGCAAAGCCCATTAAGGTTCAATGAGCTCTCAGGGTGCACCACTCATCCAATAGGTTTAGTGTCTCCATGAAGCGAAACACCAGAGACTTTTCTCTTCTGTCTCTGTGTCTGTGTGTCCTTTCCTCTGTCTGTCTCCCCACTCCCCACCCTGTGTGAGGACGCATGGAGAAACCATCCTGGAAAGAAAGAGTTCTTACCAGAACCTCACCTTGCTGGTGCCCTGATCTGGGACTTCTAGCCCCCAGAGCTGTAGGGAAATAAATTTCTGGTGTTTAATCCACTGAGTCTATTGTATTCTTTTATGTAATCTTAGCTGACAAATACAAAATCATTTATTTTGGAAATTTAAAAAAGAAAATGAATGAAAGAAAATTCACACAGTTGCACTTCTTCGGAAACTTTGAGATTTCACAAAACTGGTCCTTTCTTCGATTTCCACATCTGATGAGCTAACGGCGTTTTTAACCTAGAGAGTGTGTTATTTGAAGTTTGGCTGATGCAGCCCTCTTGTTGAAAGGACAGTATGGCCCAGTCACTTACATGAAGGTACCTTCTGGGAGCCTGGCAGGCTACAGTCCATGGGGTCACAAGAGTCGGACACGACTTAGCAAATAAACCACCAGCACCACAGTACTTACAAACTCATTGAACATTATTGTGGAAAGGTTATGAATGTCGTGGGACAGCCTGGACACACGGCTAAACGTTTGTCTAAGGAACTTCAGGGGGACACCAAACACATCAGGACCGCAGGATGGGCATATGTTGCCTTGGCACAGGAGCAGATTCGGCATGACCAGCAGCAGGAGCAGGCAGGACCCTGCTAAAATAAAAACATGAGCCATTCTGAGATGATCTAGTCACCTGAGGTTATTAAATCCATCTTGTGGAGGGAAGCCCTCTCTTTCCCTGTTGCTCTGAGCAGGAGTTGGAGCTGTAGTAGTTGGGGTGAGGAAGAAGGAGCGCCGTCTGTGTAAATTTAGGAGGATGATGACATTTGCACAGATAGATATTTGGAGAAGTGGGATACTCCCTGCATTTTTGTATTGCTCCCAGAAGTACTTCTGTGGTCTGCAAATATTTGGAACTTAATTCTGAGCCAGAGTATTTAGGCCATTCTTTTAAGACAGTTTAATGTTGGGACTCTGCAGACTCTGAGCAGCGAGGCCACCTAGGAGTGTGTAATTATTTCACTCTACATTGACTAGTGCTTGAATTTTAGACACTGAAATGACAAGAAGTGTACAGTTGATCTGTGTGGTTTACCATCACGCTGGGGTAAGAGTAAATACATGACTGACTGATCGCTACTATTGAGTACAGAGAGAATACTAAGAGAAAAAGGACATTGTACCTTGGATCTGGTAACTCAACTTCCTAACCACATGCATGTCTTTGATACTTTTCAAAAAGCTTTAAACATCTTAAAATTTGTGTTTCACAGTAGCCCTTTGAGATAGCCTTCATCTTCACTGAGATCATCAAGTTATGTTAATGAAGATATAATGCCTTGGAGAGGGCAAGTAATTTTCCCCAGGTCCCATTATTAGCAGATGGAGGTGACTGGGCACCAATACAGTCATCTCTCCACTTCCTGATGTCACATCACAATGCCTGTGGGCTCTCGGTCTTCAAGTGTGTATCCAGGACCATATCAGGAGTTGTGATGTTTCTGCTTAGGGTAAAAAATATTTTCTCTTTTACTACAGAACAAACGTGACCCTAGGATACTCGTTTCATCCACTTGTTGTGCTCTGTCTATGAAATACTCACCATTAAAGTCTTTGACAATTATCAGTGTTGAAGCCTGGTTCTCCTGGCTAGACTTTCTTCTAGGCAAGCTGACATCTGTTCTACTATTATGTATCCTTAGTCTTCTCATTACGTTTGTTTCTTCGAGACAATGGCAGGTAAATCTCCAGATGGTCATCCAAGAATCTTACCTGCTCAGCATCTAGGACCCCGTCACTGGCTGCGGACACGGCCTGGCCTTTCCTGACTGTGACGTTTCAGGGAGAAAATCCATCTGTTTGATCGGGAGCACATCCTGACAACCATGGGGCTGAGTTTTCGAACCATCTCCATACATCTCCTCTTTGATAGGAGAACTAGACCTTCAGGCTTCAATGATGTATTGTAATATTTCAGAAATTATTCCTCGCTCTACCTTTGGCCAACAGAAGCATAAAATCATAGACACTTGCAAGCATGATTTTAATATTACTTTTCCTGTCCATTCTTTGTAAGTTAGCAGAATTTAAGACTGAAGTGAGCAAGAATTGAGTTTTGACATGAGAACTGATAACAGGGATTTTATCCTACTGAATGATATTCTACATGATTCTTTCTACAACTTACCAGAAGAGTGGTAATTAATGAAGGATAAGGTATTAGCACTTACTAGGTTTTCTCTGCTCTTAGTTTAAAGGGGCATGGTATCTAAGAATAAAATGGTTATTTAAAATTAAGTGATGAAAATCAAAGAAGTGATTCTTAAAAGAAAGACATATAAGTTGGAGAAATTTGGGACTATCTCTCTCATCAACTAAAGAGCTTATTGTGACAGGCAAGGAGAATATAGCTTGTATAACATAGACGTACTTGTGTGCATATATTTCTGTGCATGTATACATGTGTTATGAATCCATATATGCTTAATTCCTAGGTGGAACTTTGGACCTTATAAAATTCAATTTTATAAGAGGCAGTAAATATAGCAGAATACTCTAATTCTTAATGTAATTGACCATTTGTTGGTAGATGACTAACTATATGATTTTTTATTGTGTTAAAGTGTTACTTGTGTGTTTGCTTTGGTAGCACATACGTTAGAAAATTGGAATAATACTGAGAAGATTAGCATGGCCCCTGCCCAAGGATGACACACAAATGTGTGAAGCCTTCCGTATTTTTCTAACAACTTCAAGGGCTGCGGTGGGAAGGAAGGTGGAAGGAGGTTCAGGAGTGATGGGTATAGGTAAACCTATGGCTGATTCATGTTGATGTTTGGCCGAAAGCAGTACAGTATTGTAAAGGAATTACCCTTCAATTAAACATCAATAAATTTAATTATTAAAACTGTAGTTGGGGATCATATAACAGGTTCAGATATCCACTGTAAGACTAACGAGGATCTGACTGGAAACTGAAGGTGTCAGTTATCATTGGTTAGGGATTCATTAACTTTATAGTTGAATGAGGAAGTAAGCTAACAAACACTACTGTCTGTGATTCAGTGTCATAGGAAGCTACAAGCTTTGTCACTGTTCGCTTTTAGGTGGTATAGTGCCCAAACTTTGAAACTGTGGCTGTTCCCAGAAGCGCAAAGTCATGAGTCCTGCCCAGGATTTCTGTTTCTGTTGCTGGAGGCTTCTGTTTGCTGGTCCACTAGGTCCGAAACTTTCTCTCCTGAGCATTCTCTAGTTCTATCATGTGCACAAGTCTTTCTATTTTGGTTGTCTAATTTGATTCTCTTATTCTTTTGATCAGACTACCAAGTCTCTTTACGATTTACTTTTCAGACCCTTTTGTGCTTTGATTTTTCTGATGCTCCTTAATGTATTTGCTGCCATGTCTACATCTCAGAATAGTTCTCAGTATCTACATATTCCCTACCCTATTCGCTTACTGTTTGGATTTTGGCATTCAGCATCAGCATATTTTTATGTACTTTATTTTCCTTATGGTGAAGTTTCTGGTATACAGCTTAAGCTGGTTGGCTCCCATCTGGCTTGATCATGTAGTCTCCAAAAAATTAGAGATCTCTTCTTTCTTTCTAGGCAATACTGCCCCTTCATTTAGTACCATTGTTAATTTTCAGTGATTTCACTTCCTGCTTCATAAGCTTAGTCTTTCTCAATCTACTCTAACTTGAATGCTATGTGTCTCTTTTTTGGCATTACTCTTTTATTTTATTTTGTTAATTTTAATTGGAGGCCAACTACTTTACAATATTGTATTGGTTTTGACATACATTGACAGGAATCCGCCATGGGTGTACATGTGTTCCCCACTCTGAACCCCCTTCCTACCTCCTCCCCATCCCATCCTTCTGGGTCATCCCAGTGCACCATCCCAAGCACCCTGGATCATGCATAAAACCCGGAATGGTGATTCATGTCACATGTGATAATATACACGTTTCAATAAAATTTCTTTTTTTAAATATAAATTTATTTATTTTAATTGGAGGTTAATTACTTCACAATATTATAGTGGTTTTTGACATACATTGACAGGAATCCGCCATGGGTGTACATGTGTTCCCCATTCTGAACCCCCTTCCTACCTCCTCCCCATCCCATCCTTCTGGGTCATCCCAGTGCACCATCCCAAGCACCCTGGATCATGCATAAAACCTGGAATGGTGATTCATGTCACATGTGATAATATACACGTTTCAATGCCTTTCTCCCAAGTCATCCCACCCTCGCCTCTCCCACAGAGTTCAAAAGACTTCTATACATCTGTGTGTCTTTTGCTGTTTCACATACAGGGTTATCGATACCATCTTTCTAAAGTCTATATAGATGTTAGTATACTGTATTGGTGTTTTTCTTTCTGGTTTACTTCACTCTGTATAATAGGCTCCAGTTTCATCCACCTCATTAGAACTAATTCAAATCTATTCCTTTTAATGGCTGAGTAATATTCCATTGTATATATGACCACAGTTTTCTCATCTATTCGTCTGCTAATGGGCATCTAGATTGCTTCCATGTCCTGCCCTTTATTAACAGTGCCACAATGAACATTGAGGTACACGAGTCTCTTTCAGTTCTGGTTCCTCGGTGTGTATGCCCAGTAGTGGGATTGCTTGGTCATCTGGAAGTTCTTTTTCCAGTGTTTTAAGGAATCTTCACCCTGTTCTCCATAGTGGCTGTATTACTATTTTAAATAAATATCAACCTAGTATACCAGAGAATTAAAGGGAATAAAATTACAATAGTATTAGTAATAATACAGTCCCCCAAATTATAATCCAGTAATGCTCCCAGTTTTAAATGACTTTCTATCCATGTATTATTGAGGTCCCCTATTCACTCCTTACTAGGTTTTTCAATTTTGAAATAGAATGTAGAAAACAATGGAGTCAAAAATTCTGAAAATCACCTTGGATTTTAGATGCCTCACGATTAAACATGTAATGGTTAGTTTTTTATAGTTAGTAGGGCTATTCTGAGCACACATAGCTCTGTGTAGGGTGATTGCTACTGAGTGAAGGATATATACTGTGAACTGCAATCACCAAACAGGTGATCCGAAATAAAGAAAGAAATGCCAGAAACACACAGGCTTCTGTTTTGTAAGGAAAAACTTACAGTGTCTGTAATCTACAGTCTGATCTTCAGATTTTTCAATACATTTACTCTTCCACTGCTCATTTAAATATTTGAGTTGTTTGATTTTTTTTTCCTACAGAGTTGCATGAGTCTCTTATATAAACTTGATATGAAGCCCATACCATATATGTGATTTGCAAATATATTTTTTATCTTTCCATAGGTCACCGTTTAATTTTATTGGTGGCTTCTTTTACTATGCAGAAGGTTTTGAGTTTGATATGGTCTCACCAGTTTATTTTTGAAGCTCTTTCCTTTGCTTTTGATGACTGACTTATTTCAGCTGCTTGTATTTTGGAAAGTGATCCTTTATCAGTTGTTTTATTTGCTATTATCTTCTCCCATTCTTACCAAAAGACAGAGACTGGATGAATGGATAGAAAACCAAAACCCACATATATGCAGAAAAGAGACCCACTTCAGCCCTAGAGACACATATAAACTGAAAGTGAGAGGATGAAAAAAGATATTCCATGCAAATGGAAATCAGAAGAAAGCTGGATTGGCAATTCTCATATCAGAAAATAATAGACCTTAAAATAAAAACTATTATAAGAGATAAAGAAGGACGCTACCAAATGATCAAGGGTCAGTCCAAGAAAAAGGCAAAACAATTTTAAATGTTTATGTAGCCAACATAGGAGCACCTCAATACATGAGGAAAACACTAACTGACACAAAAGGGGAAATTGACAGTAACACAATAATAGTAGGGCATGTCAACACCGCACCTGTACCAATGGGCAGATCAACAAAACAGAAAATTAATAAGGAAACATAACCCTAAAAGGAAATATTAGAGCAAACAGACCTAATTGATATCTTTAGCACATTCCATCACATGTAGAATACACTTCCATCTCAAGTGCACATGGAACATTTTCCTCATCTTGGGTCACAAATCAAACCTCAATAAATTTAAGGAAATTGAAATTGTATCAAGCATTTTCTGTGATCACAACACTATGAGACTAGATATAGATTATAGGGGGAAAAAAACACCTTTAAAGAACAGAAACACATGGAGATTCAAGAACACATTTCTAAATAATAAACAGGTTACTAAAGAAATAAGGGAAATCAAAATATTTCTAAAAACAAAGAACAATGAAAACATGATGATGTAAAACCTATAGGATGCATCAAAAGCAGTTCTAAGAGGGAAGGTTATAGTAATACAAATCCTACCTCAAGAAACACATTGAATAGACAACCTAACTTTACATATCTTCAGCTCTTTTTAAATTTCTCTTATCAATGTCTTAAAGGGTTTGTATAAAATCTTTCAACATCTTGCTTAAGTTTATTTCTAAGTGTTTTATCTTTTTGTGATGCAGTAGTAAATGGGCTTTTTTACTTTATTCAACTGCTGGTTCATTGCTGATATATAGTTAGGAAACAGAGTTTTGTATATTGGAATATAGTAAACATAATGTATGCTACATCTTTAAAGAATAGACATTTTCCCACAAATAAGACATATAGATGGTCAAGAGGTATATAACAAGATGCTCAGCATCACTAATAATCAAAGGAAATGCAGATCAAAAGCACAAGAGATATGACCTCTTCCATGTTTGAATGGCAGGTACCAAAAATGCAAGAAATGACAAATCTTGTTGAGGATGTGGAGAAAAAGGAGTGCTTATGCACTGTTAGTAGGGATGCATACTGGTGCAACTCCCATGGAAAAACACTGTGGAGATTCCTGAAGAAATTTTAAAAAGAACTGTTATGTGATCCATTATCCCACTTTTGGATATATAATCAAAGACAATGAAATCATTGTCTCAAAGAGAGATCTATATTCCCATGTTCATTGCAGCATCATTCACAGTAGCCTTGGTATAGGAACAACATGAGTATCTTTCAACAGATGAATGGATTAAGACAATGTAATTTGACATATATAGGTAAATATTATTTAGGCATTAGAAAAAGAAAGAAATCTTTCCATTTATGGTAACATGGATGAAACTGGAGGACATTACACTCGGTAAACTAAGTCAGACAAAGAAAAATAAAATCCGATCTCAATTATAAGGAATCTCAAAAAAAAAAAAAATCTCTGAGAAAGTGGACATCATCAAGTGGCATACCTACTCAACAGACATGAGTTTGAGTAAGCTCTGGATGTTGTGGATGGACAGGGAAGCCTGGCATGCCGCAGTCCATGGGGTCGCAAATAATCGGACACGACTGAAAAACTGACTCAACTGAAGAGAGTAGAACTAACCTGTGTTCTCCTCAAAAAGCAAAAGTTAAACGTGTGTGGTGATGGCAATGTTCTTAATATAAAGGGAAACTCGTTTCTAATACATGCACAAATGGGGGTGGACAAGATCCTGAAGGGGTAGGTGGAAGTGGGATACACCTCTCTCCATCGATGCATCAAGAACATCTAAAGACGCAGCAGTTCTCACAGAAGACCAGGTGAATACTGACAGGATGCCCTGAATACCAAGAAGGAATATCCGGATCCATACAGAACTCGGCAGGACAAAGGAAAGGAGGGATGAGGAGGAAGGGGAAAGAAGGAGAAGAGCACGCGGGAGCAGCCTGCAACTGGAGGTGAGGGAGCTGAAGCGCAGGGGAGAGATCCCGCGTCCATGGCCGTCCACTGGAATGAGCCATTTGAAGCTGCTGGGGAGTGAACCGACTAAGCTGTGACCATCTGAATGGAGTGAGAACCACACAGACAAGCCATGCTGCTGCCGTTCATACCTCGGACAGGGTTGTAAGTCCACTGGTGTCCACGGAAGCTGGGAGCTAGAGCCATGGGGACTGCAGAATGAACCCGGGATGAGGACTCCTGTTGACCGTGGGAAGTCAGCCTGACGGGATTGGATGGAGGAAATCTGCTGCATCGAATGCTTCTTAAGGAAAGCCACGAGGCCATAAGTGTAGGGTTCAACTCCCTGTGGAGTAGAGCTATCTCTCTCTCCATGCTGGTACCTGTAGGTGGAGCAATAGAGAAAGACTTCAGTGAGGGTGGTCCTTGAGTGCCTGATGCACTAAGCAACGGAGAGTTTTGAATGTCTATATACCCTACCCTAATCTCTGTCTAAATTGTGGGTTTTAGCATTATAATATTTTTATGAACTTAAATTTCTTCTGGTAGAGTTTCTGGTTTACAAATTAAGCTAATTGCTCACATCTGTCTCATTCTTGATCTTTCAAGAAACTTTGAGAAACTCCCTTCCTCTCAAGGCAATACTGCCCCTTACTTTACTACCATTGCTGACTTTCCACACTTTCTCTTCTTGCCTACTATATTCTATGTCTTTCTTTATTCACTATAACTTTAGTAGTATGTGTCCAATGTTGCTATTATTATTTCAAATATTATTATTAACCTGATGCAGTAGAGTATCAAAAGGACTCCAGTTTCAACACTAGTAATAAATTACCCCCAAATTATAATCCATTAATGCTCCCATTTGAAACTGATTTTCTATTGATATATTAGTGAGTTCTGTTAACTCATTTCCCTACTATGTGTCTCAATTTATGTAAATCCATGGCTAATTCATTTCAATGTATGACAAAAACCGCTGCAATGATGTAAAGTAATTAGCCTCCAACTAATAAAAATAAATGAAAAAAAAATTTAAAAAAATTTTAAAAAAAACTTTAAACAAGAAAAAAAAATCAAAAATAAATAAATAAATAAATAAATAAAAATAAAATGAAATATAGAAACCAATGGACTGGTAAACTCTGGAAATTATCTTCCTTTTGATATGCCTCTTTAGTAAGTATGCAAATATTTGTTTGTTTTGTTTTTCTTTTTTCCCCTGTGAGGCTGTTCTTAGTACATATTATAGCTCACTGTAGGGAGATTTCTATTGACTGAAGAATGTACACTGTGAACTGTAATTGTCAAACAAGTGAGTAGAGATGAAGAAAGTAATGTCACGAAGGCACAAGCTTTTGTTGTTCTAGAAGGAAAACTTGCTGTGTCTCTCATCTACAGTCTAATCTTCAGCTTTATTGAAACTCTTACTTTTCTTACACTCCATTAAAAATCTGGATTATTTGGGTTTTTTTACCCTTGAGTTGTATGTCTCATGTATTTTTGGATATTAAGCCCTTATGAAATATATGTTTGGAAATATCTTCTGTCAATGTGTAAACTGCCATTTGATTTTGTTGATGCTCCTTTCTTTGGAGTAAGTTTTTGCAGTTGTTGCATTTCTCTCAGTGTGAAACTCAAAAACTCACTGCAAAGGCTGATGGCAAGAAGATTACCTCAATGTTTTCTTCTAGGGGTTTAATCGCTTAAAGTCTTATGTTCAAATTTTTAATCCCTTTTTAGTTGATTTCTGTGTATGCTGAAAGACAGGTGTACAGTTTCATTTTTTCATAGGACTATCCATTTTTCCTAGTGCCATTTTTGAAAAGCTTTTCCTTTCCCCACTGGATATTCTTGGCTCCTTTTTCATAAGCTAACTGACAATATATGGGTGTGGGTTTCTTTCTGGTTTTGTTGTTCTGCTCTGTTGATATATGAGTCTGTTTTCGTGCCAGTCAATAAACATGAAACATGTTTCCTTTTGTGTCTTTTAAACATTTCTTTCATGAGTGTCTTGAATATTTTCATACATAGTTCTTTCAACACCTTGCTTAAATTTTAGCTAAGTATTTCATTTTGATGCAATTATAAATGGAATTATTTGTATTTCTATAATTTCTTTAGGTATATGGATAGGTACATGAGTTTTATATTTTCAAATACAATATACAAAAAGCATGCATTTTTTACAGAATAGACAATTTTCCCCCCAAATAAAACATACAGAATGCCCAAGAAGTATATGACAAGATGCTCAACATCACTATCAGGGAAGTGCAAATCAAAAGTACAACACATACCACATCACTCCTGTTTAAATGGCTTTTACCAAAAAGAAAGAAATAAGTGTGATTGAGGATGTGTAGAAAATGGAGGTCTTAATGGATTATTGGTAGGAATGTATATTGGTGCAACTCCCATGGAATACATTCAGGAAGTTTCTCACAAAATTTCAAACTTCTGGATATATATTCACTTCTGAATATATATTCAAAGGAAATGAAATAATTATCTCAAAGAGAAATGCGTACTCCCATATTCACTGCATCAATATTGACAGTAGCCTCCTGCTGCTGCTGCTAAGTCGCTTCAGTCGTGTTCGACTCTGTGCGACCCCATAGATGGCAGCCCACCAGGCTCCCCCTTCCTGGGATTCTCCAGGCAAGAACACTACAGTAGGTTGCCATTTCCTTTGCTGATGTATGAAAGAGAAAAGTGAAAGTGATGTCCTCCGACTTTTAGAGACCCCAAGGTCTGTAGCCTACCAGGCTTCTCCGTCAATGGGATTTTCCAGGCAAGAGTATTGGAGTGGGTTGCCATTTCCCTCTCCAGCACAATAGCCTAGAAACAACCAATTATAGGAACAATCTAAGTATCTGTCAGCGGGTGAAGAGATTAAAATAATGTGATGTGATATATATATGAATTTTATTTAGCCATTAAAAATGAAACAAAGTTTTCCATTAGTGGCAGCATGGAGGGCCTAATGCCAAATGAAATAAGTTAAAGAAAAACAGATACTGTATGATCTCAATTGTAAGAAATCTAAAAAAAAAAAAAACAAGTGGAACTCAGAAACAGTGTAGGAAAGTGATGGTCAGGGCTTGGAGAGTGAAGGAAATAGGAACGGGTTTGTAAAAGGTTATACATTTTAACATATGAAAATTATATGGTCTGAGGATATAATGTGTAGCATGATGTTTATAATTGATAAAATTGTGTTGTATAATTGGTGCTGTCTAAGAGAGTGGAACTTACCTGTGTTCTCTTCAAAAAATAAAAGGTAAACTTGTCAGATGATAGCTATGTTACTTAAGTTAATAGAAAGGGAAACTCTTTTCTAATACATATGTAAATGAGGGTCAGCACTATGGCAGAGGGTAGGTGGAAATGGCAAGTGTACTGGAGTGGGTTGCCATTTCCTCCTCCAGAGATGGTTCCTGACCCACGGATTGAACCATTGCCTGTGTCTCCTGCATCGCAGGCAGATTCTCTAGCTGCTGAGCCATCAGGGAAATCCTAACAAAGCTATCATATGACCTAGAAATTCTACTATTGGGTATACACCCTGAGAAAACAATAATTTAAAAAGACGCACGAACCCCAAAATTCATTTCAATAGTGTTTACAATAGCCAGGACATGGAAGCAATCTAGATGTGCACTGAGATAAGAACAGATAAAGAAGTTGTGGTACATCTAAACAAGGGAATTTTAATTAACCTTAAAAAGAAGCGAATTTGGGTCACTTGAGCTGAGGAGGATGAACCTACAGCCTGTTATGTAGAGTGAAGTAAGTCACAAAGCTAAAACCAAATATTGTATGTGAATGTATATATGGAATCCAGAAAAATAGCACTGGTTAACCTATTTTCAGGGCAGGAGGTGAGGCACAGACAGAGAACATGTTTGTGGACACAAAGGGGAGGAGAGGGCAAGTTGAATGGAGAGAGTAGCATTGAAACATAGTACTTTACCATCTGTAAAATATTAACAGATAACTAGTGGGATGGGGCTGTATGACACAGGAAGCTCACCCCGTGCTGTGTGACCACCTGGAGAAGTGGGATGGGGTGAGTGGTGGGGGACTCAAGAGGGACGGGGTATATGTACACTTCTGGCTGATTCACATCATTGTACAACACACTTTAAAGAAATTATACTCCAATTAAAAATCAATTTAAAAATAATATATAGATCTATCAAAATTTCATGTTATATACTTTATCTATCTTAGTTTTATTTGCAAATTCTGCCTCAAACAATACTCTGCTTGCTAGTCACTATTCATGATATTTTATTTAGAGATGATGTTGTCCTACATAGAAAAAAAAAAAACTTTGCAGTATCTACTGAGAAAGGCAAAGTATAGACATTTTTGATACTTAAATATTATTTAAGCAAAAGGATTAATAATTAAGCAGTTATCAGTGGATGAATACCCCTCAGCCTCCCAACCAAAAAACTAAAACTGCTAAGAAAAGAATTGTTGGTATCTTTCCAATATAGAGGCTTTAAATATGAACCTTGGAGTTCTATAGCCCTTGTACAAGCTCCCACTCCACTATTCACTAGCTCTGAATCTTTAGGCAAGCCTTATTTTACTTCTCTCCATAATGCCATTCAAACTAGTGTCCAACTCATGGAGTTGCATAAGAATTAATGAAGATAATACAAAAAAATAAAACATGTCAGAGAAAGACCAGAAGAAGATAAATGCTTGACCAATGTTTGTCACTTCACATTTTCTTATTGTGAAGTTACAACGAGGGAGCCTTGTCAAGCAAACCAGCCACTCAACTGTGTAGTGAAGGGCTCAGCTTCATCCAAAAAGAAGTCTGGACTTTGCCCTTGTTTCCCGGGAGTTCCTCTCTAAACCCTTAGGTTGATTCATCTGACAAAGAGTGACTAAAATTGTCAAAGGCTGACAGTGAGAGAAGCGCTTTTCTTTATGTGAGGGTCTTGCACCAGCCTGATAGAGATGTCAACAGGTGATTTAGAGTAAAAACTTTTGGCCACAAGAATGATGTGATTCAGGATGGGGGTTTTGGTCATGCAGTATCAGCTGCACCGCTAGAGAGGTTTGAGCCTGAGATCAGCTGTATGGACCATCAATCATGCTTTGGTGATGGAGCCCCAGTAAAAACTCTGGACACGGAGACTGCAGTGAGCTCCCGTGTTTGCAAGTCCTCAATGCTGGCACATCAGTGCTAGGAAAACAAAACTACCCATGACACCCTGGGAAGATGAAACCAAAGTTCCGTGTTTCACATAACCTTTGACTCTGCCCTATATGCCTTTTCCTGGGCAGTTTTTTATCTGTGTCTTTTAAAAAGCTGTAATCTGCTGGA